GTCCTGGTATGATTTCGGGGCACGAACATTGAGTAATAACAACCTTAGGTAGTAACGTTCCCCTTCGGTTGGATTAACTGAAACCAATCTGCCAATCACTTGTTGTTGCTTCCTTAAATGCCATTTCCTAGATGCAGTGGACCAAACAAAGTATTCCGAGAACTCAATGTACAATAGATTCAATTGTTTTGCATCAGCATTAATGGAGTTCATATGAAAGAACTCAGTCAGCATTGTTTGAGTGTGGCGACCAGAACTTTCACCATCCACGAGTGTAGCGAGTTTATCCTTACTACAAAACTGCATGTACTGGTAATTGTACAAGTGAACTTGTAAATGTATAACGGCGGGTTTAAGTTCTGATAAGGTGAAGGAAAATATTCGCCAAGCTGCTTCGGGAGGAGATATCCATCTCGCTGTTTGATACTCATTAATCTCATCATATTCATCAACTGTGTTTGTGTCTAACAAATGGAACCTCACTCGATCATGGCCCTTATAAATGTACTTGTAAACATACTTCACACATTTTATTCCAACAAATATTTCCACATTTATATGGCAATCATACTTTTCCAACAATGTCGGATTTTAAGGAACAACCCAACGGTTATCTAAGTAGTGCTTTCTCACTTAAACTTTATTTTTTTCATTTCGCCGGCGATAGATAGGATAAGCATCCTCGGGGAGCGTAGTGACATTGTTGTATGATTGTGGATAGCGATCTTTGCAACAAGGTGGTTGATCCTTTTGTTTTGCTCGCATGCAAACATTTTCTGGATTTAAATCACCGCACGGGCCATGCATCATGTGATTTACAACTAATTGAAAAGGTTTTGGATTTGTTTCTTTGGAAGGAAGCTCAGCAGACACAAATCTATCACACTGCACAGCAGTGTTTATTTTGTGTCTGTTATATAAAATTACCAGAAAGTGAACATGAGGAAGTCCACGCTTCTGGAATTCTATAACGTAAGTGTAGGTAGCAACTTCCCCGAAAAAACTTTTCTTTATGATATCCTTTTTAAGTTCTTCAACTTTTGCTCGAAATATACGTGCAACAAGATCTGGTCTATTTTGTGGTAAATCCACATATCGAAGGAGTTCTTTAATTTTAGGCCAGTTAGGATTACACATCATTGTTAAGAAAATATCGGCCTTCCCAAAACGCTGAACAAGGGCCATAGCATCCATATATCTTCTACGCATGTCCCATGGACCACCAATAAATGTAGCTGGCAAAATAATGCGCTTCCCTACTTCATCACCATTTTGTACCCCAATGTTAAAACTGTCTATGAGTCCTTGATATGTCTCTAGCCTTGCTTCTCGTTGTTGATGCCTGAAGTAGTCTAATCTTTGTGTTTCAACCTTTATATAAACATCCACTATGAATTGTTGTAGTAATCTACCAGTATGTAACAATAAAGACGGATCATTTTTTTCTAATTTGAAACTTGTAAGCATAATACTCTCGGGCTGAGACGGTAAATTGTTTGTGACCTTGGGTAGACACAGACTCTTCTACATGTAGCATATCATTCGGTGAATTGAAAGTTGAAGGGTTTAGTTGAGATGAAGTGCATAGTGGATTAGGGGATAAACCAATGTATGGAGATATTTTACGAATACCTTCATGCCATCCAGTTTCTCCATGAGGAAACAACAATGGGTATTTAATGGATCATAACACCCGTAATAGTATTTCACATTATGTGAGGAACCACTATGCCCATACACTTTAATGCTTCTATTCTCCTCAATACCATCTGTGGTGTTCTCTATCCATATGGCTCCTACTCGTGAGGCAGTTGGTAGGTTAAAGACTCGCTGATCTAGGGAAGCATTATTGTGCAAAAGAATACAGAAGTCATCCTCAACGTGTACATCTTTTAGGCTTTTTAAAAATTGGGCATACGGATTGGCAGCCATTACTTCAACAATAGAGCTTACAACCTCTTTTATTAATCGATCAGTAGCATTTATTCTATGCTCTATTTCTTCTTCAGTGTCAAAGAAATATAGTTGTAGGTTTTTTGGTGGATGGCCTACTGGAAGGAAATCATTTATATGGTGATAAACTTGCCCTTGAACTCTAAAAGTGTATGCTCCTTTGTTATTTTTCAAAAATCTTTTGTCAACATTATAGACACCCATTGATGTAAATGCAAAGGTGTTGTTGTAGGTCCGTACACAGTTCTGGAATGTTTTGACATTTTCATCCATTCCAGCAAATAATTGCCTCTATTGGTGGCATAAAACTTGACACGAGGCTAACTTGACCTTTGCTACAACAGAACCCGGGAGACTCATATTGAATTCGCTTGGCCCCACAAAATTGGCAGTTTGGGACGGGGTCAATTTGAAACCACTTTGTGAAGTTGTACCTGAGAGAATTTATTCTTTTTAGATTTTAATTGTTAATATTTAATCCACAGATTTAATTGTTATATCGAAAATGTGGATAAAGTTTTTTTTAAATACATTTTTTCTGTGAATGTATATATGTATTTTAGTGTTCTTAAAGGGAGATACGAAACTTTCAATGTGACAACGTACAATGGTACTTCGTGGGCAGGACACATGACTTTTTTAAAATATTTTTTGTTTAACAAACCTGCAATATTTGAGGCCATTGTCGTAGGTTTGTTTGGGACCAGAGTATTTGAGCGATTTGCTTGTTTATTTAGTTCCCATGGCACGTGATTTGATGATGGTGTGTTCATATCATCCATCACACTTTGAACTAACTAATCACCTAAAAGTCAGAATATACGGAGTGAATTTTAATTTTGTTACATGCATGGACTAAACCACACAAATAGACTAAGCAAAACATTTTATTCAAGAAATGTAGGTGCCATATGGACAATTTTAAGTATTTTAGAGGTCTTAATCGCAAGTATCTTATTTTGTAAGTAAATGTGATTTGTGATATAGATATATCACTGTAAATAATAAATACTCTTTGAAAATATGATAAAGCAAGGTTTAGTTATTAAGTGAGTATATGTAGATACAGAGACAACTATGGAGCAAAAGTTGAAGTATACAATCATAGATTCATGCATGTAATATTGTACAGGCTAAAGACCTTGATTGTAAAGCATTATTGTCGTAAATGAGCTTGTTTTTTACTTTCTTGGTGCCTGAGTGTGATTGGTTGTGAATAGTGAAACTATTTTTTGAGTGACATGTTTAATAACACCATTTGGATGTGTTTTTTCCTCTTTTCAACATTGCATTAATATAGTGAGACGTTTTTCTGGTAATTTTCTTCATTTTTATCTATTATTATTAGTACTTTCTGATATAGAAACAAATAAACCTGATATGTACTTTACATCCGTTAACCGGATGATTTAGATGTTTTAGTTAATAAACTATCTATTGAAAATTAAAATAACCTTTGAAAAAAATGATAAAGCGAGGTTTAGTTTTTAAGTGAGTACAGATAAACAGACAACTATGGAGTAAAAGTTCAGGTACTCTATAAATAGATTCATACATGTAATATTATTGTCCAGACCAAATGAATACAAGCGACATGGGAATGTAAATGTTTACCTCAAGAGATATGTCTCTAAAGCCGGTTCGAAAGAAACAACTTGCTTCCCCTCCAATACTAAGCAAAATCGTTGCATTCATCAAGACAAGAGACAAAATGATAAGTTGCTATGAAAAGGTCAAAAGGAATTGTATGACAATGCATGTCGGGTTCTAAATCATAATGTAACCATTTCAGCCTCAAGTGGTTACATTATGATAGTGATCTTTTCTTCTTCTAATAATCATAACCACTTTAACTTTCTTAAGATAGTGATCTTTTCTTCTTCTAATAATAATAACCACTTTAACTTGCAAATTACCCCTATTTTTCAATAGGTAATGCTGCACAGTAACTAAAGCTTTCAATAGCTTTCAATTTTTAAAACCTTCAATTGCTAATGTTAAAAAAGTTCAATTCGCCAATAGCCAGCTAATGAAGCCATGGCGGCCCCAGATTCATTTTCTTAGTGAAAACACGCTCCTAAGGATTCTTGGTTCATATAATTATCCTCTATCAACCAGCCCTAGGGTTGTTGTCATTTTTTTTGGCCTTTTTATTTTAGTTAATAACTCAAAAGGTGAACTGAAACTTAAAAAAAGCAATGAGGTTGCTAATTGATTGACTAAAAATCAAAGTGCTAAACCGCCATAGTCTTCAATCGTTTTCTTTACTAAGCTTTGAAACAACCAATAATAAGAGTATAAACTGTACAAATTAAACGTAGGCAAAGAGATGGAATGGTAAAACTCAGATATCAATCGTAATGATCAATAAACATCAACTATTGGAGGGAAGAATGGAAACTCACCAAACTGTTGATCAGGCCGCGTGAAAAAGACGACAAACCTAAGGAAACCCCCATTTATAGAACTGGAAGAAGAGATGGGAATCATCTGAAACTGAAATTTCATTGAATATACTAGTATGGATTAATTTATTTTTGATGCTCCAACTTCTCCAACGCAGGTTGAAGACTATGGCGGTTTAGCTTCACAAACGGATCCGAAAAAGAATAAGGCGAAAGGAGTTGGTTCTGTGTGAAGCGGTATAGTTAACGCTGTTAATCAACGCTGTTAACGATCAATAAACGCCATCTGTTAACGATCGGTATAACGCCCAGCAGAAGCGTACAACACTAGCTACACAATGTACACGTACAGAAAGCAAAGTTCTAGTAGGATTTAGCACACACCCAAGCATTTAATAAGAATATGTGGCCTTTGTAAGATAGGTTAAGGGGGTGTTTGGAATTGATTCTGCTTTTGCTTCTTTTTTAAAGCAGAAACAGAATCAGAATCAATTTTCAGAAGCTAGTCATCCGACTCATCCCCAACTTCTAAAAAAACTGATTCTAGAAGTAAATTAGAACACCCGAATCACTTCACTTTCAGTCTTTCACCCAAGCACTCTCTGGCTTCTACTTCTGCTCCTGAAGGAGCGGAAGTAAGAATGAAATCCAAACCCCCTAAGATGAATTATTGTTTGTGTATAATAAATACTTGGGACCCTAATTCCCTAAATACTTGATACCTAAGTTCTTTCCGGACTTTGATTCCAAAAAATACCGGACTGTCGCTAGGAAATGGAAGCTAAAGTTAGAAACTTATTGGATTCAGTCAGCCATATCTTCTCCTCCGGCGATCAGATACCTTGGTGCGATCCCGATATCATCGCTGTAAGTATTCCCTCTATCTATCCTACATGAATAGGTAGTTTGACTTGTATACGGTATACCCTGTCGATTATAGGGTCCAGATGTTGAACTGTCTCTAGAGATAAGACTAGCAAGATCAGGGTGTTAGAAATTCAGTATTTTCTCTTGCAAAAAGTGACAAAACATTTCACGCGAATGCACAATGATACAGATGAAGTTCAGGACTCCAATTTTCTGAAATTGCGGGGATACTGTTCAATTGAACCTAAGGTGTTGAGGATATTGGCAGACAGCCAATAATATAAGTAGGCTACACAGCCAAAATATGACAACATGAATGGTGTGGAGTACGGATAATACAATAAAATAATTGTTTTCTAACATACCCTCGCATTTCACATGCAACTGCTAAAACAGTCATATCATTTGGCTCCAGTTTTCATGATCAGCAACTTTAACATTCACTTATTTAAGTCCAGTAAAAAATTGTCACGAGTTTGTAACATCAACCTTAGACCTTGCTATGAATCTTGTTGCTTGAAACTTGAAAGTCACACATAGTTTTCAATCTTGGCACATGGTGTAATTTGTATATTTTGTCCTACCTGACCTACCAAATTCTTTTAATTTCCTTGTATGGTAGGAAGATCGTCTGTTCCACATACTACTCTGCACACTGTGTTCCCTATTCCTATTAACTTGCATACTTGAAAATCAATTTATTTCTTTTTATGCACACGTTAACAATTGATCAGGAGTGCTGTTTGAATCCTGTTATGTTTTAGAAAATTATGCACTATTATAGCGGATGGCTTTTGTTTATTTGTATTGTGTTTTGGTGTAAGCTCATTTCTTTGCTGCTGGACCATTTGTTCTCTTCAAAATGTTAAATGTGCTGTACTTGGTACTTACTGTAGTGTGTATATACCTTCATGTAATACATATGATTGGTTTTTTAGTACTCATTTATCTAGTTACTCTTACTCTGAGATTTGTGAGTCACGGCGTTGCGGGAGAAGGAGAGTATGGAACAGAAAATATCCCAACATCCACAACAACGTGTTGCTCATTTTGGTGGAGGGACCGATTTAGTCTCTTATTAATTACCTAATTTTGTAATTTTTATTTTTGCTTGCTCAGTTATGTTTAATTATTAGCAAGTAGCTGAATTTGTTCAGGCTATGTTTGCAAGAGCTTAAAATCACTTTTTAAGCTTTTATCTTTGGAAAAGCTGAAAAGGGGTTTTTAAAATGAGAACTTCTACATTAATTTAAGCAGCGTAAAGCCAAAAGGCAGAAGCAGGGAAAGAGGTGCTTTTAGTTGCTTTTTGGTATTTTTCTAAAGATGCCCAACTTTTAGGACAATTTTAATCCACAAAAGGCCAAAGTAGCCTTCATATCCTAAGGTGTACGTCCATTGTTCATCACCTCATCCATGTCCTCTGTGCCGCATCTGTCATCGTTTCACTTTGAAAACACGCTGCATCACTTCTATTTCAATATATACATATTACATGCACACAGTATATAGTATATCGCTGGCACATATATATGGTACCTGAACTTTGGGAAGCAAGATTGGAGATAAAATCCTAGTGATTCGATGATCTATGGTAGCTGAACTGGGGGAAGCCATCCTGTGTTGATTCAGAAGCTTCATATATAAATATAAGAGCATCTTCAATGCTACAATGTGCACGGTGTGTATGTGACAAGAGAGAGATAGACACAAAAAAATAAATTCATGACACCTCTCCTTCTTTCCACTGTCTTATGTGTTTTTGGTTAGTTTTTCTCAATAATGTCAACCACAATATTTACATCCAGACATTGGAGAACTTACCAAAATTTCAAATAAGGACAGAGATATTTTATTTATTAATTTTTATATTTCTATTTCTCTCAAGCCATGTATGCATCGTTCACGTTTTTTCATTGGAGATGCTCTAATATATACTCCCTCCGTCCCGTAAAGAAGTTTCCATTCGGTTTACGATGCTTGACTGAAATCGGATAGTTATGGATCGGATAGTTGGATGAAATTTCGAAATGATAGCTATCGATCTGATCTAAATCTTGCGCGATTAGGGAGGAGGCCACGATCATTTCATCCAGCTGACTGGAATCTCGGACTTCCTTCACAATCCCAAAAGGATTTGATCATAGAGCTGAAGACCATTCTTAAAATCCCTGGAAAAGCAATGTTGAAATCTGAAATTTCGATCGTAACAGGTCAGAATATCGCCAGATTATTATATGTTTAAATTCCAGATTAATTGAGACGATTTTGTTGTGTTCTAAAACCCCTGCTGCAATGACTCAACATGGAATAATGCCTGAAATCAGAGAGAGGAGGCATCGGTGGCGGGGCAAGGGTGGAAGGTTGCGGCTTGCCGGCTTGGACTGGTGAGGGGGGCGACCGTGTTAGCGGATGGGCACTGGAAATAGTCGCCCTAAAAATTTCCATAGTGAAATGTTTGACAGTGATCCAGTGACATTCAAAAGGGACATAAAAATATGGTAGTGACATATGACACTGACATAAAAATTTCGCAGTGACAAAAAATTTCGCAGTGACATAAAAAATTTCGCAGTTACATCAAGTTTTACCAAATATATGACCTTATTAGTCACTTTTTTGTCCTTTTATAAAAATGGACACTTTTTTGGAAATTGGCTTTAATTTAGTAATATTCAAGGGAAAAAAACCCATATATATATATATGTTAAATATATACGGAGTATTAAGTTGCAGCAAAGGTTAACCAAGGGCATTCATATATGGTCTCTATAATTCCTGTAAGGGTATATTGATACTTTAATAAAATATAACATTAAAAACCACTTTTTTACCAAACTCCCCACTTTTAACTTTTACACTTTAATCACTTATATTCTAAAACACTATCAACTTTTACTACTAAGCACTTCCTCCAAAATCACTTACCAAATTCACTTTTTTAGTGGTTGCTATATATAAGGAGATTGTGTGCTTCTATACTCTTCACTAAGTTATTGGGTAGTTTTCTCCACTAAGTTAGTGGGTAGTTTGATCTGGCGTGTGTATTTATTGGCTTAAGGCCAACAAAGAAATGAGGCAATAGACACTCTTCTGCTATTCTTCTTTCTATATTCTTGGTCTTATCACCTTATGTTCTAAATTAGTTGTCTTACTTGGATTACGAGGCTTAGACTGAGGATAAATATAATTCTTCCTATAAAATATTTAAATTACTTTTAGTAATTAAAATTTACACATGTAGAAATTATACATTAATAGTTGTATACTAAGGTTATAATGAACTATAAAAATCAAATTTGAAAATGACAAAAATGTGGTACATAAAATTTAAATATAAAAGTGAGCTGGATTGATCTCTGAATAACGAGTTTTTTTTAGTGGAGGGAGTATTATTATTATTATTATTATTATTATTATTGCTACTACTACTAATTAATTTACTTATCCTAAAACTTAGTTTGGTGTAGCATTTTTTGTTTAGCTGCACAATTTACTTGTTAGTTCTTTTCAAGTATAACTGTGTTTGTTAATTTGCTCAGCATCTCTTTGTTTATGTACTTATATTTGGTATCCCCATCCTAAAAGGTCACTGTGTCTGCTTTAGGGGAATGCAATTATGTGAAGTTTTTGACTTTCAAGTAATGTCTTCCATAGTGTTTTCAACCCCAGAGAGGTTAATCCTAGTATATAATCTTCTGATGGTATTTCCAAATTTGAATCATTTGATGACCTCAATTAATGCATTTTAATCTTTGAGAAATCATAGAAAGCTAGAAGCACACTGCTCAAGTAGAAGCATGTTTGATCAGTTTACAGTTTTCATGCTCTTTTCTGCACTGTTATACGTATTTTGATATTGTTTTTATAAATATTCGATTCTTTTACTGCATCTGTTTAGATTGTAAAGCGTACACAAAATGCGTCTTGGCTTTTTTCATTTTTCTTCCTAAAAAGTGTAGTATATTTTCAGGGATGCGAGCGTGAAGTGGCAGAGGCTGAAAATGGTGCTTCTGAAACAACTAAAAGTGAATGCATAATGCGCTTATCTTGGGCTCTTGTTCATTCAAAGCGTCCAGAAGATCGCCAGCGTGGTATAGCAATGCTAGATGGTAAGTATAGGAGGGGATATTTAACATCTCTCCCTCTTCCGAGGCAATCTCACCAACTGTATTGTATTTCACTCTCTTATGTTCAGACTTTGTTAATATTCTTGGTTCTACCCATAACTGGTTTTGTATCTTTCCTCCTCTGTGCAGTGTGCACCCTCTTTATCTACTTTAGTTGTAAACTTTCCTTCTTTTAGTCCTTGTCTGAATGGGGGTTTCAAAGGGGAGAGATTGTATTTTTTTTGAGCCGGTTTGGTGACCCTATTTTTCGAATTATCAGCCTTATCAACCAACTTTTTCACTCATCATTTTCATTTTCATTTACCCCAGTGCCGCAAAGACTCCCACCTACGGTGGGGTAAGGGGGGGTCGGATGTATGCAGTCTTACCCCTGTACTAAAGCATAGAGAGACTGTTTCCGAATGACCCATAGTGAAAATCGCGTCCAAAATTGCATGGACTGACTGCTACTTCATAACAAAGAAGCGCAGACAGTTTAATGAACCATTTTGCTTTATTCCATCATATTCTCAAGCCATTTTATTTCGCGCGTTGAGTTGTGTAATAATCAAAATAAGTAAGGTTGGAGTTACTTTTCTGGCTGGACCCATTTTAACTACTTTTCATATAATTTTTTCTTTATTTTATTAATAAAATATATTTTAAATACGGAGTATAATTTTTTCATAATTTAGCAGAATCAGCCACTTCAGCTAGAGCTTCATAAATTTCAACAGAATATGCTGATTCAACCAATTCCAGTGATACCAAACAGGCTCTTTATTGGTTTATTTTTACATTTATACATAGTCATTTTGTAATATTATGTAATATAAGAGTATAGGACTACCAAATAGAGATAGATTTGCGACTAGCGGGAGGTTTAAGTGACATATCCATTACTGATTATCTGGCGATTAAGCTTTTATTGTTTTTTTCATTTTCTTTTAGATGGATTTTATGACTTGTAAAGATTATCTTTTATCTGCAGCTTCTTTAGGGCTCACTAGTGGTCCACAACAAAAGAGGGAAAAGCTTTATCTTTTAGGTGTTGGATACTACAGAAGTGGGGATTATGCTAGAAGCAGAGAGATAGTGGATAGCTGTTTGGCGGTATCTTGTGTTTCAGTTTTTCTGTTCTGTGTCAACTATTAATGCATATCATATAACAGAAATTGCCCTAAATAGGAGTAAAAAGAAGGGGAAAGTATGGAAAAGGTACATGTGGTTGGGCCCGTTTTCATTTATTAACAAAGTAGGTCACGTGTTTCAATTCCGTTATCAGGGCCCGGGGCCTATCAAGGGTAGAAATCGTAGGAGGAAAGTGATCAGTAACTTTGGTTTTCAAATGTGCTCGAAAAATTCAGAGAAAAATACTAGGAGGGACGCCTCATTAAGGAGACTTCCAAACCATCTTTTTTTCCAAACTTCGAGCCACTATTGTCGCCGGAAAATTTATCAGAAAAGTGATAGTAGCAGTTTCATTTTTAAAAAATAATCCAAACGGATTCGGGAAATCCAAATAGAAGATGGTTTGGAGGTCTCCTTCACGAGGCACACCTACCAATTTTTTTCTTTTAATTTTTGCGGTTTTCTTACAAAAGTCCCACCTTTTCGTTATTCATGAATAATCCGACCTTTGCACCTCATCTTCATTCACTGGTCCCTGACCAGTTGATGACCTGCTATTCCAAGTTATTTTCTTATCTTTGCAAACCGTTATACCATAAATCTCACCTTTCACGAAGATAATATTTTGCAAAGATAAGAAAATAACTTGGAATAGCAGGTCATTAACCGATCAGGGAGCAAATGAAGATGGGGTGCAAAGGTTGGATTATTCTTGAATAACGAAAAGGTGGGACTATGGTAAGAAGACGGTTAAAAGGTTGGATTATTAGTTTCCATTTTCCCTTAATTTTTCGAGCACTTTTGAAAATCCGAGTTAGTATTCATCATCTTCCTCCGACGATTTCTAACGTTGTTAGGTGTCAGGCCCCTCCTGTGATAACAGAATTGAAACACATGACCTACTTTGTTAAGAAATGAAACACAAGCCCCTATCTGAAAACTGGTCAACCACAAGTACTTTTTCCGTACTTTTCCCTAAAAATGTGAAATTCCAAAATAGAAGTATTATATTTATTTCTCGAAGGGAAAATCGCACTTTCAGTCCCTGAAATAGTCACGAAAATGAAATGTCGGACCCGTATTTATGATATTGTAAATGTCACCCCTGTATTATCCAAATTGTTGTAAATGTGGTCCTTTAAGGGGTGAAATGTACTCTCGCCCACATTGTAGATTTCACCCCTCAAATGACGACATTTACAGCATTTAGGACAATTGAGGGATGACATTTACAAACTTGGGAATACGGGTCCGACATTTCATTTTCGTGACTATTTCAAGGACTAAAAGTGCGATTTTCCCTTTCTCGAATTAACCGACATGATTGGAAAACACTATCAATTATGACATTAATGCTGCCATATTAGTGCTTGACTGCTTGGAAATGCCAAATAGTCGCATATATTTTAAATCTTATAATGCGATGTATATGTTATAATGTTTATTAAGTGGGCATATTTAAAGAACACAAAAAGTATGAAAAAGCAAATATAAATCGGACATCAGGGAGAGTACTATTCATTTTTTTGATGTTTTTGGAAGTGATTGTTTATTTTAATTCCTGAAGCCATTGTAAATCCATAATTGCGGTGTTCGGGTTTGTAGATTGAACCTGATTGGAGGCAGGCATTGACCCTGAAGAAGGCAATTGAAGATAAAATCACTAAAGGTATTGCTCAGAAAGTTTGATGTTTGGTTCCTTTCTTCATTATATTAAATTCTGGAAAGGCTTAAATACGGAGTATGTTTTTTGGCTGTGTGTGTGTATATATTTGTTATAGGTCCCTATAGTTTGATGTTGTTCAGATATGTATATTATCCTTCTTTTTAGTCCTTGACTCCTTGTCCATCAACCTCTGTTAAAAAATGTCTAATACTTTTGTTTTTTAAGAGGCTGAGAGCTGAAAATTGATAACTGGAGTGATGAGTTTTATACTTTTATTTGGCCCCGACTCCCCTTATTACAGCATTATAGGTAGAGATGATTTGCAGTAAGTTGACATGGAAAGGCTAGACTCTTTAAGTCACATTGTTTATTTTTGTTGAGCAGAGGTGTCTACACAGAGAAGCTAGACAGAAATACAACAACATCCAAGCCTTATTCCCAAAAGAAGGGCTAAAAAGAAATTAAAAAAAAATTATTGGAACAAATAAATCAAATAATTTTTTTTAGAACATATGTATCGGGCTTTTTCAAGCAAACTGGTCTTAATTTATTCATTTGTGCTCACTTGGACAATAGATGGAGTGATTGGCATTGGCATTGCTGCCACTGTTGCTGGGCTGGTTGTGGGGGGGATTGCGGCTGCGTTGTCCCGTAAGAAGTGACTGATGATCGTGTGAACTGCTGCTGCCTGTGCATAACAAATGCAAACCTTTTCGCAGTCCCTCTTTTAGAGTCCTATGACTCTCTCCGTGAGAGTACTATGTTTGAGAGCATTTCTTTTCTTCCTCCCTGATAGGCTGGTAGTACTACTGAATCTTCAAAAATAGTTAGTTGCTTTTTTATGGCTTGTTTGGCAGTTCGTATACCGTGCAACCGGAGCATGGTGAGCATCATGCTCCACACCCCAAAACGACGTAGTTTTGATCAAATTTAAAAAAAAAATCGCGTGAACAGTACACGCGTGAACAGTACACGCGTGTACAATATTTTTTTTTTTATTTTCTTCCCAATAACATGAATGATGTAACTTGTGCATAATTTGATGTAACTCGTGTTGCTACAAATGTAACTTCAATTAACAACATATGTAACTTGTGCCCTGAAATGTAACTCATGTTTAATGAAAAAAAGGAGTTTAATTGTCCAATTATTTTACATAAATAGTGCATATGTGTTTTTTTTTAATATTAGGTCCATTAAAAATGATTTTTAATAATAAAATCATTTTTTATTGAAAAACAGAGGTTTATTTTGTTGTGTAACTTGCATAGATCTGTGATGTAACTCGCGGTATGTCAAATGTAAATCCAGTGTAACCAAGATGTAACTATTGAGAAAAATTGAAATGTAAACCGTGTGTTAAAAAATGTAACTTTAGCCAAAACGAAATGTAATTCCAGTGTATGTGGCATGTAACTCTACTATAATATCTGCAAAGCAAAATCTCGTTAATGCAAATGTAACTTAACATCAATCACAATGTAATTAACTTGTGCAATACTATAATTTGAGGAAAAGATGACTTCTCCCATCACGGCGGCGCAGCCCCCTACGCGGACGTTCGCTTCTGTTTTCATGAACAAGCCTACTGATTCTTCTCGCTCCTTTGCTAATGTGTTGATGAACAATCTGGATGCTCCTTTATCGGTGAAGACCCACTCCAGATTTAAAGGTGTACCAGCACTTACCTTCCCAGAAGAAGAGATCTCTACCTTGGCAGATCAACATTCACGCTCGTTGGTAGGCTATTTTTATAAGGGTCGCCCTCCTATGGCTACGTTACGCAAATCGTTTGAAATTATTGGATTCAAAGGCAAATTCCATTTAGGTCTTCTTGAAAATAAACATGTGTTAATCCGATTTGATCTAGAAGATGATTATATTCGTTGTTGGAATAGGCAGAAGTGGGATATTCATGGCAGTATTATGAGGGTTACTAAATGGACTCCTGACTTTATGCCTAATGTGGAATCCCCTGTGGTTCCAGTTTGGTTAGCCCTAGAGGGTCTTCCTATACATTTGCAGGACAAAAGAGCCTTGTTTCAGATTGCTGAGTTGATTGGAAAGCCTTTAAAGATGGACTATGCTACTGCTACGCTGGCCCGCCCTTGGGTAGCTCGTATTTGTGTGGAATTGGACCTTACCAAGGACATGCCTGGGAAGGTCTGGATACAGGCTGGCAAGACAGGTTTCTTTCAGTCAATTATTTATGAGAATAGGCCATATTACTGCCTCTCATGTTTTCATTTGGGACATGAGGCTGGTAGGTGCCCCAAAAAACAAGGAGTAGTTATTCGGAGTGAGGCATCTATTAAAAGTGCTGATGATGCCAAGAAAGTTGAAACTACTAAGGTGTGGGTAAGCAAAATGAACATTTCACAAGAGAGACACCAAAAGAAGGTAAGCGGGGACAATGGGATTGCACTGGAAATTAATAAGAATGGAGATGTTGACAAAGGAAAACAAATAGTTGTTTTTGACCGCCCTTCTTCTTCCAAAGCTGTGGAGCATCAAGCTACAGTCACTGATCATACAGACTCAGATGTTGAGGAAGTTTATCACGACCCCCCGCCTGTTAAGAAAAATCAAAACACTCTGGGTAAGCAAGCTACTAATCATCTGTTACAAGGAGGTATCCATGGTAAAACAATACCTTCAAGAGTGGACAGGGCATATGATGACTTCTCAGTCCATTCCCTGAATCATGTTACACAGTTCGACCCGGAGAAAAATGCTAAAGCATATGATTCAGATTCTGAAATCCCTGCAAGAATAGAAGACAAACAATACTGGTTAGATGCTTTACCTTCTCTTGGTAACAAAATTAAACAGTTCATATCTACATGCAAGGTGAGGAGTGATTCGGAACTGCTGGCAGAAATTGTTAAGCCTTTGGATACCTCTCAATGTGAGGAGAGGAATGAAGGATTTATATTGGTTGGAAAACGTAGACAAAGGAGGAAGTTTATTCCACAGACCCCAGGGATGACTACAAGGAATGCTGCCAAAAGGCAATCTCAAACTAATCCTCCTCTTCCCAAATGAATTGTCTTATTTGGAATGTAAGGGGTCTGGAAGCCTCCTGTCCAAGACTCTATAAATTGGTTTCTCAGTGGAGGATTAGTCTTTTTGTAGCTATTGAGCCTTTGGTTAATCATATTAAAGCTGATCAGTTCAAAAGGGAGTTAGGTTTCTCTGATGTAATTTTCTCTTCAATTAATAAAGTCTGGATTTTCTGGGACAAAGATCAAGTCAGTGTCTCTGAGGTCACTTGGGAAGAACAATTTACACATTTTAAAATTTCCTGGGAGAATTTCACTTGCTGGGTTACTGCAATTTATGGAAAGCACACCCAAGGGGAGAGGAGAAGGCTTTGGTCTGGGTTAGGTAATCTTGTTTCTACCATCAATCTACCATGGATGATAGGTGGAGATTTTAATGCTATCACTTCTAATTCAGAACATAAAGGGCCAGCTATTCCTAACCAATCTAGTATGATTGATTTCACAGATTGTATTTCTTTGTGTGGACTTATTGATCTACCATTTGTTGGGTCTCAATTTACTTGGACAGGAGTTAGGTCAAATGGAAGATCTTGGAAAAGATTGGATAGGTGTCTTTTTAATGAAAAGTTCATTGATTCTTTTGATCAAATTTTTATTAAAAATCTTGCCCAACCCCCTTCTGATCATAGCCCTATGGTGATTCAATGCAAAAAAGTTATTGTTAATGGTCCCAAAAGCTTTAAATTCCAAAACATGTGGCTTTCACACTCATCATTCTTTGATACTGTGACTAAAAGTTGGAGGGAAGGTTTTTCAGGTGGGGGTATGAAGGGGTTGGTCATCAAACTTCAGAAGCTGAAGAAGGATCTGAGACAATGGAATGCAGAGGTGTTTGGAAATATCTTTGATGAGATTAAATATTGTGAAGAGGAGGTTGCAAATGCAGAGAAGAGATTTCAAGATTTACCTTCTGAAGAGAATAGAGAGAAATGGTTTCAGACTAAGGCTTATCTCTTGGCAAAATATAGATTGGAAAGAAAGTACTGGAAGCAAAAGGCACATGTAAGATGGCTGAAGGAGGGGGACTGCAATAGTAAGTATTTTCACTCTTTGGTTAAAATCAGAAGGAAAAAACAAAGGATACATACCATAAGAGATGAGGGGGGTCTAATTTGCTCATCTGATGCTGCTATAGGGGAAGCTGCTGTTAGGTTTTTCTCTGATCTTTATGATGTGGATCCTGTGGTCTCTTCCAATGATATCCTGAACAACATTCCTGCAGTTATTACCGATGAGGAAAATATCAACTTAACTGCTTTGCCTACGGAAGAGGAAGTTAAAGCTGCAGTTTGGGAGCTGAATCAGAATGGGGCTCCTGGCCCTGATGGTTTTTCAGGGAAGTTTTATAAAAAATGCTGGTCTATTGTAGGAGAAGATGTAACTAAAGCAGTACAAGAGTACTTCATGGGGATACCTCCTCCAAGAGGCATAGCCAGTGCTTTTGTTATATTAATTCCTAAAATAGACATTCCTAAGACTTTCTCTGATTACAGGCCTATTTGTCTCTCCAATTTTACCAATAAGATTTGCACTAAAGTGATGGCAACCAGATTGGGAAGAATTCTACCTAAAATCATATCTGAGGAACAAGCTGGCTTTGTTCAAGGAAGGGATATTTCTGATCAGATTTTAATAGCCCAAGAAATGATTCATTCTATAGATAACAATGTTAGAGGCTCCAATGTTGTTATCAAGTTGGACATGGCAAAGGCTTTTGACAAATTGTCTTGGAGTTATCTTTTTGAGGTTTTATCTAAGTTTGGTTTCTCTGAGCATTTTATTACACTGATTAGATCTAACCTCAAGGCCACCCATCTGTCTATTCTTATCAATGGTAGTCCACACGGTTTCTTTCAGCCTAAAAGGGGGGTTAAACAGGGTGACCCATTATCACCTTTCCTTTTTATTTTGGCATCTGAAGGCTTCTCTAGAGGGTCAAAGACTAAAATGGCTCAAGGAAGTATAAGAAGTTACTGGATATGAAAAATGGGTTATTCTATCTCACACCTTGGTTTTGCAGATGATCTCCTCATTTTCACTAATGGTGAGTCTAGGTCTTTGAATAACTTTAAAGTCTTCCTAAATGAATATCAAGACGCCTCAGGTCAGACTGTCAACTTTCAGAAGAGTAGCTTTATTTGTGGGAAAAAGGCTAATTACAGAAATCAGGTGATTAAAGATATATTGGGGATGAAGAAGGCCAGATTACCTATGAAATATTTAGGGGTCAACCTTCATAAAGGAATTAATAGATTCCAGTTCAGTTTAAGCCTTATTAAAAGGTTTGAAGAAAAACTTACTCCTTGGAAACAGAAGCAGCTTTCACAGGGTGGAAGACTTATCCTTATTAATCATGTGCTGAGTTGTATTCCTAATCATATTTTGGCCACTGATACTCTTCCTAGGAAAGTGATTAATACTTTGGAAAAGAAAATGGCTTCATTTTTCTGGGGTCAGTCAGGGGAGAAACAAAAAATTCACTGGACTAGGTGGGCAAAACTATGTTTCCCTGTGGAGGAAGGAGGGATTGGGATTAGGGCTTTAACTGATGTTGAAAAAGCCTTTACCCTCAAACTCTGGTGGAAGTGGAAAACTCAGAAATCTTTTTGGACTGAATTTATTAAGGCAAGATACCAAAGAGGAGATAATATGATTCATAAGATAACAGACTCACCTATTTGGAAGCGAATTTGCGCAATTAATGAGGCTGCCAATGAATTTTGTAGAAGGAATGTGGAGGATACATGGGTTTGGAATCCTGATTGTCAAGGGAAGTTCTCTCTTTCATCTGCATACAATGTAATCAGAGAAAATCAGGCTTCTACATTTACATATAAGCATATTTGGCACAAACAACAGCATATGCAGGTTAAAGTTTTTCTTTGGAAGCTGGTTCATAACTTCCTACCCATTCCAGACAATCTACAAAGATTTCAGATGGTGGTTGAGCCATCTATATGCCCTTTCTGCAGAAGGCACAGTGAACAGACCAACCATATTTTCTTTAACTGTGTAAATGTTAGGAAGATTTGGCAGTACTTTATGGGTGTATTTGACATTCCATTCCCTAAAAGTTACACTTCTATTAGACAGATT